CCATCCCATCCCCACCCCCCATCCTGTCGCTAACCGCCCCTGCCCTGCCCCATACAACCTTGATGCTGCCACACCTTATCCCATCCTACCCCCCATCCTGATCCCATCCCACCCTGAGCCCCTGGCCTCATCCCTCAGCTCTCTGTGAAAGGTGGGGGGGGAATCCCCCCATCTCCCTACTCCCCAGGAGGGGCAGGCACCCCCTGGCACCCCCTCCCCAGCACACCACCCTCCCACCCCGCCAGCTGCAGCTGGGACGGCTGCCTCATCCCACCCGCCTGTGGGCACTTAAGAGCCAGGGGCGGCCTGGGGCAGGGGGGTTGTGTTGGGCAGGATGGCTACTGGGGAGCAGGTAAGTGCTCTCCCTGGGGCTGGGCCTAGCAGCAGGTCCCATGCAGCCCTGCCATCCCCTCGGCTGTGGGATCCATGTCACAGTGTGGGGGTGGCTGTGGGGCTCCTCCAGACTGTTTTTCCTTTCCCAGAGGAGGCAAGAGGAGCGGCGGCGGCGGAGGGCTCAGCAGCAAGATCTGCTCCTGGCAGAGAGCCTAGGCAAGCACCCCCTGCAGAACAGGTATGGGGGGGTGGTGTCTGGCCATAGGCAGCCTCTCCCAGCACTGAGAGGGGTGTGCTGGGCCTGGAGGGGGGCTCCAGCATGGCTGACCCCCCCATCTCTCCTGCCTTCCCAGGTGGGCGCTGTGGTTCTTCAAGAATGACAAGAGCAAGATGTGGCAGGCGAACTTGCGCCTTGTCACCAAGTTCAGCACTGTGGAGGACTTCTGGGCGTGAGTGTCTCATGGGTGGGCAATGTGCCCCCTCTGGAGACTCCCTGGTGGGGGTGTCTGGGTCAGAGGAGGGTGCTAGGCGTCCCTGAGACACCACTTCTCACCTGCTTCTGTGTCGTCTCTGGCGGTGCAGGCTGTACAACCACATCCAGCTTGCCAGCAAGCTCACATCTGGCTGTGATTACTCCCTCTTCAAGGTGAGACAGCCCCTCTGCTGCAGTCCTCCCTCAGAGCCCCTTGCAGCACCCACCCAGGGGCACACTGGGTGCTGGTGGGGCTGGCAGGGTGCCCTGGCCCTGGGGCAGGAAGGGAAGCCTGGCTGGGTGCTCGCAGCACCCTGAGCTGGGTCTGGCCGGGTGCTCAGTGCCCCTGACCATCGCCTTGCCCATCCCTAGGACGGCATCGAGCCCATGTGGGAGGACAGCCAGAACAAGCGCGGTGGGCGCTGGCTCATCACCCTGGCCAAGCAGCAGCGGCACACCGAGCTGGACCGTTTCTGGCTGGAGACGGTGAGTGTGGCCCCACTCGGGCTGGCCTGCAGGGTCCTGGAAGTGGTGTTTCCCCCTGCCCCAGCACTCAGTCCCAGTGGGGACTGTCCTGGGCTCTCCTTCTCCTCCCGGCAGCTGCTGTGCCTCATCGGGGAGATGTTTGATGAGTACAGCAATGAGGTGTGCGGGGCCGTCATCAACATCCGTGCCAAGGGGGACAAGATAGCCATCTGGACCCGGGAAGCGGAGAACCGGGAAGGGGTCACCCACATCGGGTAATGTGGCTTCAGAGGGAGGGTCTGTGTGGAACCAGGTTTGGGGGAGGGGGATCTCTGGGCAGGGAGCCAGCGGGAGAAGCGCTGCTGTGCTGTTCACACAGCCCCTTCCCTCCCCCAGGCGTGTCTACAAGGAGCACCTGGGCCTCTCGCAGAAGGTGGCCATTGGGTACCAGGCCCACGCAGACACGGCCACCAAGAGTGGCTCCCTCAGCAAGACTAAGTTTGTGGTGTGACTGTGGGGGGAGCGGGGTGCTGCCTGAAGGGTCCCCCTGTCCCATCCCACAATGAATGTCTGCAGCTGAGCATGGTCTGTGTGTCCAGGGCTGGGCCAGGACTCTCGCACCCTGGGGTGGCTCTTGTTTGGGAGGGCGATGATGTGTTGCTCTATCCTGTACCTGTACACTAAGTGAGAGGGGCCAGGGGCATCCTTGTGGGTTTGGGGCACAGCGTGTGTCCCCCTGCATCTCCCAGTGCCTGGGAACCAGTGTCCCTCTGCTCTGGGGTTCCAGGATAGTCCCCAGGGAGAAACTGGGTTCTGTCCTCCCCTGGTCAAGGCACAGGCACAGCTTGCTGCCCTGCGAGCTTGGCTGTGGGAGAGGGTACCAGTGCCCAGCTCCTCTGGGTCAGCTCAGCTTGGGAACATGGTCCCCATCTCTCCCAAGCCCCTGTGCACTGGTGGGATGTGGGTCTGCCTTCTTGGGAAGAGCAACTCCCCAGTCCAGGGTTGCCTAGTGTCCCGCAGGGTCGATGCTGGGGCTCCAGAACTGCATCATGCCCTCACCCCCATGCTGCCCACCTCAGGCTGTGTTTGCTCATATCCCCTCCCACAGGCACCTACAGCACAGGTCGCATGAAACTTTTTTGCTTCCTAAGGGTTTATTGGTGCCAGACTTGCAGGTTTGTAGCCCCAACGAGCCCCAGGAGTTTGCTGACTCCTCTTTTCCATGGCCTGTGCCCTCTGCTGTTCCTCCTGACTCTTCTGACTGCAGAGGGGGTCCCTTAGTCCTTCCCTCTCCCTACTTCAGCACAGCCCAGCCCGCGCTTTGTCCTTTAATCTTTTATTTGTGTTTTTGATTGTTGGATCTGTCCTCCTGCTCTGCCTATTCAGGTCCTTGAGGTGGAGCTGCCTGCTCACCTCCTGACAGTGCTGCCTGCACTTATGCCCTTGCTGCCGCTCTCCTCCATCCCCTCCAGGAGCACCCAGGCAGCTCCAGCTCAGCCCAGGGTTGCACCATGTCCAGTGCAGCACGTCCAGCCCATCCGTCCCTCCCCGTGAGTCCAAAGTCAGGGCCACTTGTCCCCCATCGCTGCGTGCTGCCCTGCCTGCACCTGGGGTTTGCGGAGGGCTGGTTCTGCAGCAGGACGAGTCTGACAGGCGGTGCTGTGGCAGCTGCCTGAGGCGTGTCTGGCCACAGTGCTGCAGGCAGGCGCTGCGGCTGGGGCACCCCGGGCTGCCCGTGGCGCGGCCCGGCGGGCTCCGA